GGGTTGTGAATGTAAACTGACAGTCAACGACAGGTTAAGTCTCTGTTGCTGGTGTCTCCACCCTCTGACTCTTGTCCTGCATTAATGATTAATGAGCTCTTCCAGGAACAGGTAAGAGCCAGCATCACTTTATGTACACAGTACTGGTCACCTTCTGGCTGGTAAGTGGCCCTGGGCCCCCACCTGCCTTTGATAATTGCATGTAGCTTGTGTCTTGTTTATTAAGACCCTGTGTGTATTTGGATGGCTGTGTGTCAGTGTATGCTGTCCTCTGCTGAGTAATAGTGTACTGATGGGTGCCCATTGTGCTCCTGACACTTGTTTATTAGGCCCCGATCATACTGCTGTATTTTAACATAAGGCTGGGAATTCCTCATAACAGACTGGTATGTCAGACTGTGTCATAGGAACATGTTACCCAGTGAGGCTGTTCACACTCACACTGCGTTTAGAAAAATGAAGCAATTTTTCATGTGTGTTTTCATGTGCTGTGAGTCCCATAGAGGTCTATGGCAGTGCATGAAATTACACATACTGTATACCCTCTGAAAGCAAATCCTTCCAAACTTGTCAACAATGTCACTGCAGGAAACCAATCCTCACTGGCCTATTCCAGAAAATGCGTGACGCATGAAAACCCCTAATAATGCATCAAAAATGCACCACAACGCATTAACAAAACAAATGTCAATGTGCTACAACGGATGTTAAAAAAATACATAAAAAAAACAGATGAGGATGTGGATATGGCCTTAGTGGGCAATAGTAGTCCGCACCATGTCTTGCTGCGTATCGCTGTGTGCACAGTGTTGTATCTCCACTGGGTAGCAGTGCACGCACAGTGCCGCTTTTCTGCTGGGTAGCGCTGTGTGCCTAGTGCTGCGTCTGTGCTAGGTAGCGTTGTGCGCGCGCTGCTTCATCTTTGGTGGGTAGCGTTGTGCGGGCGTTGCTTCATCTTTGGTGGGTAGCGTTGTCCGGACGCTGCTTCATCTTTGGTGGGTAGCGTTGTGCACACAGTGCTGCGTTATGTTGTGTGCGCAGTTTCACATCTCTGCTTTTGTAAAAGTGCCTAGCACTGTGTCTTGCTGGGTAGTGTTGTGAGCACACTGCTGTGCCTCTGCTAGGTAGTATTTTGCTTATAATGCCCTGGCTGTACTGGGTAGTGTTGTGCGCACCGTGCCATGCCTCTTCTGGATACTCTTGTGTACATAATATTGTATTGGTGCCGGAAAATAGTGCTCAGCACTGCGTCTTGCTGGGTAGCGTTGTGCGCACAGTGCCTTGTCTCCGCTGGGTAGTGTTGTGCGCATAGTGCCTTGTCTCTGCTGGGTAGTGTTGTGCCCACAGTGCCTTGTCTCTTCTGGGTAGCGTTGTGCGCGCAGTGCCTTGTCTCTGCTGGGTAGTGTTGTGTGTATAATGTTGCATCTCTGCTGGATAATAGTGCTCAGCACTGCGTCTTGCTGGGTAGCGTTGTGCGCACAGTGCCTTGTCTCTCCGCTGGGTAGTGTTGTGCGCATAGTGCCTTGTCTCCGCTGGGTAGTGTTGTGTGCATAGTGCCTTGTCTCTGCAGTGTATAATGTTGCATCTCTGCTGGATAATAGTGTCTCAGCACTGCGTCTTGCTGGGTAGTGTTGTGCGCACAGTGCCTTGTCTCCGCTGGGTAGTGTTGTGCGCACAGTGCCTTGTCTCTGCTGGGTAGTGTTGTGCGCACAGTGCCTTGTCTCTGCTGGGTAGTGTTGTGTGTATAATGTTGCATCTCTGCTGGATAATAGTGCTCAGCACTGCGTCTTGCTGGGTAGTGTTGTGCGCACAGTGCCTTGTCTCTGCTGGGTAGTGTTGTGTGCGCACAGTGCCTTGTCTCTGCTGGGTAGTGTTGTGCGCACAGTGCCTTGTCTCTGCTGGGTAGTGTTGTGCGCACAGTGCCTTGTCTCTGCTGGGTAGCGTTGTGCGCGCAGTGCCTTGTCTCTGCTGGGTAGCGATGTGTGTATAATGTTGCATCTCTGCTGGATATTATTGATCAGTATTGTGTCTTGCAGGGTAGTGTTGTTAACACATCTCTGCTGTCAGCATTGTGTGCTTCATCATTTCTTGGTGATTGTGCTCAGCACTGTGTTTTGCTGGATAGCAGTGCGCTGGGACCATGGTGTAGAATGTGTTTTTTCCTGCCTGACTCCATCATTCGGGTCCATGTACACTGGACATAAAAAATGCTGCTTATACAGGCATTTTGCATATTTGTTCCGCCTGCAGAAGCAACTCTATGTTCGCATATGTGTCCATGTACATATGGGTGTTTACAGGCATTTTTCAGAGGAGAGTTTAGAGGCAGAAAAAAAAAACATCAGTATTGTGTTTTTGAGGCAAGCTTTCGGGCAGAAAAAATGCTTAATGCACATAAATGCAGCGTTTGTGAGTGTTCGGCGTTTTCATGTTCAGTGTACATTGAAAAATGAGTAATGTTCTGGTGAAACAAACGCTTATAAATGTCCATAAACTCTTGTGCAATATGAGCCACTATGAGCATTTTTATGTCCTCCTTTTTTTTTTTTTTTTTTTTTTTTTTTTTTTTTTTTTTTTCTGCCTCCTAGTGTGCTTGGACTCTTCAGCTGATTTGTCATGAAAGTTTTTGTCTTGTGAAGCAATATTCTTGGTGGAGCTGGCAGTTTGCAGTCATTTTAGTAAATATGTGAGCTGTTGTTTATTATTCATTTACCAAGCTGTGGAATGCTAGTTGGAGTTACGGGGCCCCTTTCACAGACAGTCTTTGAACCTTGCCTGTTTCTATTAGAGTTCTGTAATCCAGAACAACCAGTGCTAATCAATTTATCAACAATAATCTGGCTACTGTTTATTTACATAGTAGGTGGGAGATTTGAAGCGGGGGTGCAGCCAATTTTCTGAATCACCTGTCTGTGTCCCCAGCTCTTGTGTGTCACCCTTTCATATGTGCTTTGTATGGGGGGATTTACTAAAACTGGTGCATTCAGAATCTGGTGCAGCTGTGCATGGTAGCCAATCGGCTTCTAACTTCAGCTTGTTCTATTAAGTTTTGACAATAAAACCTGGAAGCTGATTGGTTTCTATGCAGAAAAGAACATGATTTTGCACTCTCCAGCTTTAGTAAATAAACCCCTATGTGTCTTCCCTGTGACACAGAAAAATATTTTATAACTGCGGACAAGGCATATATTTGCCACTCGGCCACTTTGATCCTCCTTTGTAAGGGGTTTATTCACATCAGTTATGTATCCAGCAACTCGCATTACAACCCCCACACGGGCAGCCTGCACTACAACCCCCACACGGGCAGCCTGCACTACAACCCCCACACGGGCAGCCTGCACTACAACCCCCACCGTGAATGGATATTCCATACTGAACTCCTGGATTGGAGTTTGGTATGGAATACTAAACCCCTACCACAAATGGATTTTCCACACCACAATCCCCTCACCATGATCGAGTATACCGGAGTACAGCCCCCACCACAGCTTGACAGTCTATGCCACAGCCCCTGTTGTGACACTGTTCAGAGCTGAATATCCAGCCATGGAGGCAAGCTATGGGGCTTGTGTCAATGAGAAATTGCAGCATGCTTTTGACATCTTTCAGAATTCATTGCAGGTTACCTTCTTTTAAGCCACTGTATTCTCATGGTCTTGTATCGGAAGACAAGTGAACAAAAGCCCATCCACACAGGTGCACAGTCTGGTGGGACTTTTGGTGAGCTCTTTGGCTGTTGTGCACCAGCTGTCTTTGTGCATGGGTCATTTTCACTCTTCAGTAATGATGACTATCCAGTTCTGTATATTCCTTATGAATCTTGTATGTGGTGATGGGACACTACATAATCCGCTTTAAAACCTTTCAAAGGAAGGGGGTTGCATGACCAAAGCCTCAGAGTTGGTGTAGCAGAGCAAAATGGAGGAACGCCAATGCTGGATCAGCTGCTCACCTCATTTGAGTTATTTTCTAATGCTGCTATCTCAAGATATAATCTGCACAGTGCAAGGCCATATCCAGCCTGGAAAGCATCAGCAGCTGCATAGATGCCAACATTTACAAAAAATTTTCTGGGGACACCTTGTTTTTGCTGTGTGTGCAGCATGCCATTGTAGGCGGAGAATTTATTTTAATAAGAGGTGTGGCATTCATCTAAAATGGACATGGTTCCACAAGAAGCATACTGTTAATTATTATTTATTTATTACAGATATATATACAGTTAGGTGCATATATATTTGGACATAGGCACAGTTTTATTTTTTTTCAGGTATTTACCAAAACATATTCAGGCTATAGCTATATAATGGATATGGGCTGAAAGTGCACACTCAGATTTAATTTGAGGGTATGTACATCCAAAATGGAGGAAGGGTTTAGAAATTACAGCTCTTAAGAGTAGCCACCCCCTCCCCCCTCCCTTTTTTCAAGGGACCAAAAGTAATTGGACAGTTGAATATAATCATAAATAAAATGTTCATTTTATTATTTTGTTGAGAATCCTTTACTGGCAATGATTGCATGAAGTCTGGAACCCATGGACATTACCAAAGACTGGGTTTCCTCCTTTCTGATGCTTTGCCAGGCTCTAACTGCAGCTGACTTCAGTTGTTCTTTGTTTGTGGGGCTTTATGCCTTTTAGTTTTGCCTTCACAAGTGAAATGCATGCTCAATTGGGTTGAGATCAGGTGATTGACTGGCCCACCCTTTGCAGTTAGAACAGCTTCAACTCTTCTGGGAAGGCTGTCCAAAAGGTTTAGGAGTGTGTCTGTGGGAATGTTTGACCATTCTTCCAGAAGCGCATTTGTGAGGTCAGGCACTGATGTCAGACGAGAAGGCCTGGCTCGCAGTCTACACTCCTAATTCATCACAAAGGTGTTCATCGGGTAGAGGTCAGGACTCTGTGCAGGCCAGTCAAGTTCCTCCACCCCAAACTCACTTATCCATGTTTTTATTTGGACCTTGTTTTGTGCGCAGTCAGGTTGGAACAGGCAGGGGCTATCTCCAAACTGTTCCCACAAAGTTGGAAGCAGGAAATTGTTCAAAATGTCTTGGTATGTTGATGCCCTAACAGTTATCTTCACTAGTACTAAGGGGCCAAGCCCCACCCCTGAAAAACAACTTCACACCTTAAACCCCCTTCCACCAAACTTCAGTCAGGCAAGTACCGTTCTCCTGGACAAACCCAGGCATGTCCATCGGATTGCCAGACAGAGAGGCAGTATTCTTCACTCCAGAGAACACGTGTCCACTGCTCTAGAGTCTAGTGGTGGCATGCTTTACACCACTACATCCGATGCTTTGCATTGCACTTAGGGTTAGATACAGGCTTGGATGCAGCTGCTTGGGCATGGAAAGCCATTCCACGAAGCTCTCTATGCACTGTTGTTGTGCTAATCTGAAGGCCACACAAAGTTTGGAGGTCTTTGACTCTGCCGACAGTAGGCGACTTCTGCGTGCTTCAGCATGCGCTGACCCTGCTCTGTCATTTTACATGGCCTACCACTTCATGGCTGAGTTGCTGTTGTTCCCAATTGCTTCCTTTGTTATAATACCACTAATAGTTGACCGTGGAATATTTAGTAGCAAGGAAATTTCATGGATGGACTTATTGAACAGGTGGCAACCTATTACGGTACCACGCTTGAATTCACTGAGCTCCTGAGAGCGACCCATTCTTTCACAAATATTTGTAGAAGCAGTCTGCATGCCTAGCTGCTTGATTTTATACACCTGTGGCCATGGAGGTGTTTGGAACACCTGAATCCAATGATTTGGAGGGGTGTCCCAATATTTTTGGCAGTATAGTGTATATAGCATCCACAATGTATGCAGTGCTTTACATATTGTATGCAATGATTTATATTTAAATTACTTTATATATAGGAAGATTTATCATAATAAGGACAGAAACATCCAAAAAAAGTCTTGTTCAGGGGCACCAGGGCACAGTACTTGGAGGTCAGGAGGGAAAAGTACAGGAGAAAGTACTGGGGATTCAGGAGGGAAAATTGAAGGGGGGGCACCAGGGCACAGTACTGGGGCGGCAGCAATCTATGGTGCAGAAGCGGTTTCCTCCACATGCAGAGTGGCACAGGGAAGTTGCTTTGACAGATCTACTTGTTCCGGTGTGCTGGCCTTCCTCTCCATTCCATTACACACTCATTTTGGCTCTGATGAAGAGGGGTTACCCTAGAAACGCTTTCAGACATTTTTGGATCCCGGACAGCGTCTACTTGGCGTTGGCTCCTTCTGGATCCCACTATCTACTGTTCCACGAGTCTGTGGGTTGGCATGCTGTATTTTCTTCATTGTTTGTGAGTGTTTTTATTATTAAATAATAAAGTTCCCCCTGGATAATGCATTAGACTGGTGCGCCCTTTGTCACTTGTCTTTTTACAGTTGTAGAGGGCAGAGTCGTTAGAGGGCAGCAAGACCTGGCACCCCCTTGCCTTTCATTATTAAGAGGCACATGTGAATAGACCCTGGTCCACCACATTTTTGCGCAGGAGGTGTTTTCACTTTTTGAGTTGTCCTACACAAATACCTGGGATGGATGAGAGAGGAGGTGTCAGGGATCCTACAGCGGTAGCCTCTAGCGCTCTACAGACCGGATTCCCCCAAGGCGCGGAATCTAAGTCCCTACCTGCTTGTTCAGCAGGGCCCCTGATGGTGGGGATGGACTTGGAGCAGGCCGAGACCAGGTCGCGTCCATTGAGTTTACCCAGCTGTGGTAGAAGCACCGTTGGATGTGTATAGCAGGTGAGAGTCTGAGGTGAGGAGGTCACAAGAGCAGCGTCAGGCAGGCGGGGTCGGTAACAGTGGTGGTGGCGTGGTACAAAATCAGCAGGCAGAGGAATAAACTGGTCACAAGCCGGGTTCGTTAACAGGAGATCAGAATGTGCAGGGTTAAGCAGGAGAATGGTCAGACAAGCCAGGGATCAGAACAGGAGACAGACAGCAAATCAGGGTCAGGCAGGGTAGGCAACAAGACAATCTACTAAACAGGAACTTCAGGAAACAGGTAAGACCATAAGGCACTTGAGCATTGCAAGAGCTGGGTTTTTAAATAGCCTGCCCGACTCCTGACAGGTGCTCCTGGGTCCTAGTGCCTGCCCGGCGCCGTCATTGGTGACAGGCACGCCTGGGTCCTAGTGCCTGCCTGCCTGTATGTCTTGTCAGGATTCTACGCATGTGCAGATTGGATCGCCGCGGCGATCTTCCCATTCCCTGACAGGAGGGCTGTCAGGGATCAGTGCAGTACACTCCCTGTGCTGCTCTGCAGTTTGAGGAGAAGCACTTTAGGCTGTAGGTTGTCAAGGCAGAGCAGCAAATGCGATCTACCCATCACCTGCCCATGATCGATGGGTAGATCACAATTGATGGGTTGCAGACCCCCACTCTATACACACTTGCTAAGCTGCAGGAGCTCAAGAAAGATTTAGCTTTGCATAGACATGCCTGCAAAAAAATCCCCAAAACCACGGAAGTTTAACTCCACACATGCTCCTCTAAACAAGAACTCTGCTCACACCCCCTTTCATATGGGGTCCCTGAATAGAAGAAATAGAAGGGTGTGGGAACAGTTAACCCTTTTGCTGCAAGGCCCTGCACTGTACTTTTTAAATGCAGGTGGCCAGACCAATTTTGCTATTTTTTTTCCTTTTTTTTTTCTTTCATTTTCACCTACAGCGCTTCCCCAGGAAACTCCCCACCCCCCAAACCTTACTTTTCCTGGAAGCAAATGACCTGTAGAATAAAAGAAAGGTGCTACTGATTTTTTAAGGCCTGCAGTAGTTGCACAAAGGTTTTATCAAATGGTACGTTTGCAAAAATACACTAATATAATTTATTAGCGGACACAAAAACACTGCAACAAAATTTTAGGACCCCCCACAAAAAAAACCCTACATTTTCTGAGAGTACATGACCTGTTAAAAAAGCGCTACTAATTTTTTTCATAAGGCTCTGCAATAGTTATGCAAATGTTTATCAAATTAATTTTTTTTTTTTTTTTTAAATACACTAAAATCATTATTAGCGAACAGAAAATAACTTCTTGCTAAACTCCTACTAAGATCTTTTCCACAAGGGGCATGCTAAAGCGTACACCTGTGGAGGGCTACCCACATTGAGATGTACAGGTGTTCTCTGCATCCCTGTGCATGCAGTCTTATTGATGTCATTTGGGGCACAGTAGCTGCATGCACAGTTGCTGCTGCCAGTCTGACATCCATGTGGGTGTGGCGGGCATGGCCTCAAAAGCAGACTGTATGCGCCTGGGGACACACACCCACAAGGATGTAAAATTTGGAGCAGCAGCTGTGCCTGTGCAGCCAGTGCATCCCAATTGACATCAATAGGACTGCCTGCACAGGGATGCATGGAACACCATTCCCATGTGGGTAAACATGGCGTCACACAGGTGTACGCTTTAGTAAACCTCGTGTGAATGAGACCTTAGCATGTGTTTTTTTTTTTTTTTTTTACATTTTATTTATATTTTTACAATTTTCTTACAGCCCTGTTGGTGGCATTAATGAGATATCAGAGGTCTTAACAGACCCCTGATGTCTCTCTTTTGATATCGAAAAAGGGAATGAGGACACAGTCCTCATACCCTTTTTCTCTGTAGCCTCATTTGCACTGCAAATTGATGAATAGAAACCTCTTCTATTTATTTACAAACGGAAGCATAGTAAACACAGTTTACTATGCTTCCGCGATGAATGAACACAGGAACAACCGGTACCGATCACTCACTTTGCTCATTGAGGAAGGGGCTGGTGAACCTGACATGTTTACAAGCTGCAGCTGGCAGAAGGGGGCAGAAGGGCACATAGTGGGGTATTGGTGCTGGGGGTTCTAGTACAGGAGGAGGGGTGAGGGTTATAACAACATTGGGGGTTTTTATTCATTAAGTGCAATCCTCCTGAGGCTCCCTGCAGCAGATGAAGCTGGCAGGAGGGGAGAGGAGGAGAAGCCAGCAGAAGGGGAGTCACAGGAGTATTGTGCTCAGGAGGGAGCAGAGAAGAGCGTTGTGGGGAGATGTTGGAGCAGGTGCAAGGAAAGGGAGAGCAGTGGGGGATGGTGCAGCGGCCCAGAGAGAGAGCAGGCATGGCTTCTGCTGTCTCAATTGCTCTGATTTCTGGACACAGCCTGAGACACGGCCATGGCAGGACAGCTTATTGAAAAGCATGACTGTCCCTGCAAATCTGGTACAATTGGCAAGTTTGCATCTGCACTTCAGATTTGTTGTTCTGGGGTATTGTAGGTGTTTTTTTTTTTTTTTTTAATAAAAAATACATATGTCGGCTTGTGGGAGTCTGCTGGAGTTTTGAAGTTCTAAATATTCATTTAGCAATCCTTAAAGATCTGACGTTCTCTCAGAGGTCAGCAGGCCCACTTCTAGATGTTCGCAATACCTCTACTCTGAATCTTCATCCATGTATAGAATGTAATAAAGGAGCCACTAAACTCTCTGATGATGAAATTTTGTAGCCATTTATTTTGCGGTTCCTACTCTAAAAGTGGGTAAGATGTAGATGAAGAGCTCTCCCGACACCCCGACAGATTTAGTGTCCATGTTGTCAGAATGACTGACGGTAGCTCAGTGAAGTCCAACAGGGAGTGGTGAAGGCTGGCAAGTGTGGTAAAAATTGGCATACCTGTTACACAGACTTCATTCACCAATATCTAATGTAAACTGAGCTACCAATCCTAGAATATAGGAAGCCGGTCACTGCACTGAATTTATTTGAAGTTATTTCTGCAGGCACATCCCCTGATTTACAGTACACTGTGCATCTGTCACGCTCAGGGACCAGTAGCTAGAACAGTAGAGAGGCTCCCACCGACCAGCTTTAAACGTACACAAGCAGGTCATCCTGGTGGATGGTGTGGGCTCACCGGGGTGCGGGGGTCTAAGCACTAGCCAGTATTCACCAGAGCCCGATTGTGGAGATGGTTTTTGGTGGCTGTTAGTACCAGGTTGTGGTCTTCATGATGCCCCCCCCAGGAGGTGAGAAAGCTGGGGTCCAGAAGCAGGTATAGGGAGGTGTAGGGATCAAGCAGAAGCATACTCTGAAAACAACCCAAAGGATGGTAACAAGAGGTTGCAGGTTGGGACCAATCAGAAGTGTACTTGAGGAACAAGCCAAGGTCAGTAACGAGTGGTAGCTGAGATAATGACAGCTGCAGGTGCGCAATGGAGCCAGATATTGCCTCGAGAGGGCAAAATATTCTAGCAAACAGGAAGCGCAAAGGCATGGCCTAAATAGGAAGTTCTTGGGAGGAGCAAAGGGTTCAAGGTTGCAGAAAAACAAGACACAGGGCAAGGTTGTTTAAAGTGGTTATAAAGGCTTAAGGTTTTTTACCTTTATGTATGAAGGTTAAAAACCTTTCTATGTGCAGCAGTGCCCCCGGTCACCTCAATACTTATTTACTTGAGCCCCATCGAGATCCAGCGATGTGCAGGACAGCAAGCGGGGGCCATTGGCTCCTGCTGCTGTAAATCACAGCCAGTCAGCCAATGAGGTGAGAGAGGGGCGGGGCCAACCAGGTTTTCTCAGTGTGAATGGACACATGGAGCAGCGGGTGTGATGGAACACGGCGTCCCACCCCTGCCCTTCTCACCAACTCGTGAGCGCAGGACCAGCTGATCTCACACCGCGCTG